TGCAAAACTGTTAGCTAAATAAATTTTCTTTATAAATTATCCAAGTCTCAGGTATTCTGTTATAGCAACACAAAATGGGCTGGAGTACCTTTCTAAGGAAAAAACTGTGTACAATATTAACAGAAGAAATTTTTGGACTTAAAAGTTGAAAGGGCTTTTCAAGTTCTTTCTCCAGTAAGTATGTTGAAAGTTTCTGATCCAGAAAGTCACTTAAAAATTCTGAACTTCCATTTTCTCAAATGTAATTGGGATCCTATCTCACCAGAGTTGGACAATGAGCAAAAACTATCAGGGACAAGAAAACAAAAGGTAGATGACAAAGTGTTTGATAAATGTAGTAGGATTCTAAAATTGACAGATAAACCAAATAACAACAACGCAGATAACAATAGCTTTTTAAAATTCTACACTTTTCTATGGGCTCAGGAGGAAGAATTATAAAATAACTGATCCTTTTTAAACTAATTGTAATTAAATCATTATTTTTACAATTTGTGCCTCCTTCATCAGTTTGTAAGCTCACTGGAGCCTGTCTTATTCCCTACTCTGTCACTACATCTGGTATGGTGCTCAATACTGAGCTGGAGGCTAGAAGTAAGAGGTTCGGGATTCAACAGTATAAAGCTAAACCCTTGCAAAAGATCATCACCACCCAGAGTATCAATAACAAAAAAAATGGGGCTACAGGCTCTCAGAGACTCATTGTTAGGAGGTAGACAGGAAAAGAAACAACTGTCAAAAGTCTACATAAAAAAGTACTTCATTTCAATAGCATTTATCACAATGTGCCCCATTTTCCACATGTCTGTCCTAAATATCTAATGAATTCCCCTCTACCAGGGTTTATAAATAGTAGATACCTTATAACAAATGTTTATTGATTTAAATTATTCATTCAATCTCCACCAAATTTACTGCTTTGCACCAACAGAAAGATTTATAATACATTCTATCTGCAAAAAATTATTTTTCCAATAATTTTTTAAAACAGGGACTTCTTGTCTCGATCCTCATTCTTTCAGCAAAAGCTTCCTACTGGAGGCATAGGAGAATCCATAGCGAATCCCTTGAATTACAGGCCCATATGAGATACCAAGGCACCAAATCCTCACCTTTAAGATTTATAAACTGAATTCCATAAATACTTTTACACAGTTTGTTTTGTGGACATGGGAATACACTGTAAGCTGGACAAGATGTAAATATAATATTACTGATCCTATAGTTTGAAACTTATTTTCTACATATTTCTTATAACTTTTGATAAAAGAACTGTGAGAAATTGAGTATAAATTATAGACAACATGAAATCTGAGTATTAGAAACATTTTGGGAGTCCATATCAACCTTTTCACTTTACAGGTTGGAATCTGAATCCCAGAGACTGTAGATATCATAGAGCCCAATATTTAACTGATCTATTAAACCATTTGTATAAACCTCCCTAGCTTTCTTTCTTGCAAGTCAATCTGAAGAAAAAAAGGCAATCTGCAATGCAATCCCTTTCGCCAGACATAAGGTCAGTGGATTCAAAATACAAATAACTGATAACATCTTTAAATATTGCCTTCTAATTATCATTACAGCCAATACAAAGTCCTATAATTTCCTTCGTCTAGTCCCAACTGGATGGTATTTTCCAAGTCACTTCTATCATTAACAAGCAAACCAAAAGCACATAATCACCCAAGAGAGTAAGATTTCCTATAGAGCAAAACCCCCTCACTCTGGCATTTTCATTGGCATTTGTAAAAGCATTTATAAAAGACTCAAAACACATATATTTCATTTAAACATTTATTTTTAAGCTCAGGAAATGTTAGCATTCGTTCAATCTGTGGATATAAACACCCTAGGAATATATATAACCAGTAAGTTGGCAAGGAACTGATATGATAATCATAGTATGTATTTTCTTGAACAAGAAATAAAAATTTAAATAGAACATCCTTTCAGGCAATTTTGTAATCCAGATTCAATTATAGAATGGAAGACATTCCTTACTGAGCTCAATAATCATCGTACATTACTGTGTATATGGCAATATGGTAGATATTGATGGTACAAAAATGGAAAACAGGCCCTCCCTATTCCTAATTAGCTTAGAATTTTTTAAAGGAGGTAAACATGTATTTTCAATATAAGTATTTACAGTCCCACAACCACTACCAAATTCAAGCCACCATCAGTCATCTCTCACCTGAAAGATCACAATAGTTTCTCTAAAGAGTTTCCCTTGCTCTGCTCTGACCACTTTCTAATCCTGTCTTTTGACATGGTCCAATCCGCTATTCTTAGAATAAAAAGCAAACTCCTTAGCTTGGTCTATGACGAGTCCCTATGGGTTCTACCTCTGCTTTCTCTGTGGCCTTATCTCTTTCCATTTTTGCACCTGGTTCAGTAGGTTTCAGTCCCATTAGCTTTCTTTCTCTGCTGGGAACACGAGCTTCAACTTTCTGTTTCTCCTGCCTGAACCTGTCTCTTCAAATAACTTGATTAAGCTTAGAGTTGCCAAATATCACATACCTGACCACATTATCTCACTTCCTACCTCATCACCTTCTAAAGAACGACATCATGCTATTTCCTATAGAGCACTACTCGCTATCTGAAAACACAACAGTGCCTTGCACCTAGTAGATGCAGCTTATAAATGTTAAAATTAATAAAAAGAATTTCCTAAGAATTTTAGGCTAAATCATGACTTATATGTACCTGGCACTCTAAAACTGCACACAGCTGGGCCTACCAATCAAAAATATCAATTTACTGTCCATTTGCCAATGTCGTGGGGGAAAAAACAACTAGAATATATGTTATAGAAGAAAAAATCATGACAGTAACCAAGGGCTCCAAAATTTACTCACCTTCAACTAATTTGAACAAGCCAACTTCATTTCTCTAGGCTTCGATCTAGAGATTGAAGATTTGTTACATAATTTTAAAATAACTTCCAGTTCTAAAATTCAATCATTTGAAATAGAGTTCTCCAAATGAAAATCATTAATATTCTTTGAAATGTACATTATTTTTTATAATCTGAGCACAGTGAGCATGGTGTATCGAGCACCCAGTTAAGGGCTTACTGTCTGTTTATAGATAATTTTACCTTAACTCCTCCTTTTTGAAACCTCATTTTGAGTTCTTTTCATTTCTGACTCCAAAGTAGAAATAAATATTCAAAGTAATAAAATTTCGTAAAATCCCTAGCATTATATTTCATCAAATTACATTTACTTGTGCAGTAATTTCTCTCTTGGAAAATAATTACACTTCTAATAATGTACATATGCCAAAAAACTTAATCCAAGGGTACTAAGAAGAACTAGTTTTTATACATGTATTTAAAGACATTTGTTATTGCTGGCTTCCAAATAACATAAAATAAAAAGTTTGTTAAACTTTCATTCAACTAAATCCAAAAATTTCTCATGGGAGAAATATGCCCTACTACTAAACATTTTAGAAGCATGAGGTGATGTAAAACTAATAATTTTTTAAAAAGATAGAAGATGGACAAAGCTAGAATAAGGAGGACAACTTTTAAAATTAATAAAAGTGATTGTTTCAACTAAAATTCAAATAAAGCACTGATGGTGTTTAAAGAAATTGATTGTATAACACCCGAATATAGAACATTCCCAATAATATTATGGGAAACAACCTTGGAAGATGCAGTAAGTAGAAATTCTGAGACAAAGAAAATGCAGGCAGCAAGACAGAAAAAAAATCCTGTTTTATAAAATGCTATGACAAGAGGTCCTTTAGCACTGAGGGAAAACAATCATGAATCTACTTCAATGCACAGTACGGGTACCAAAAATAGTAGGCATGAGAAAATCCTAATTTAAAATACTTCATATGGGAAAATCTATGATAATAAAAATAAATTCCGCAGCAAATTTGAATTAGTTGACTATCTTAAGACAGCAATAAAACTACATTATGAAAGAAAATCAGAAGTGATTACATAGTACCTTGTGTGAGATTACCTCCTGCATTATGCCAGAAAGATAAAGCATCAGAACCCTAGCTTTATAAACATATACGCACAACAATGTAAATTTTAAAATGGACTTGTGGTTGATTAAGTATATCCTCCATTTTTTTATTTCCATTCTTCTACACTTGCAGCCTGTCACTGATTTATTTTTACAAGCTGGAAGCTGGGAGAAGGAATTAAATATGATACAACCATATTAGCTTTATTTCCTTTAGATTTAATTTCTGGCCACTTTTAAGTTTACTACTTGATAATCACTAATGTATCAAGGCCAATAGTGATCCAAAAAACACTTTTTTTCCCCAAGGGATCAGCAAAAGTAAATGCCTTTTGGCTCCTTAAAAGCCTTCCAACCGCAAATCTGGTAGGAATAAGCACATCTTACCCAACACCAAACCATATATATACTTCGCCTCACTAAACAGATGACTCACTACTAATGACAGAGCAGAGTGGGACAGAGTTGTTATGTAAGCTCATTGCTAAACGGAATGAGACAGTGATGCTTTACAGCCTTTACAGCTTATCTTTGGCCTCAATCTTAGGCATTTATGGGCTGGTATACAGCCATATCTTCCAGAAAGCAAGATTTTGAGGCTAAAATGTAAATTTCTAAAACTTCAAAATACCATTTCTCAAAGAACAATACATTATCATTTAGAATGAAAAGGAAGCTAAGATTTTCATTACAAACTATGCATCAGGCCAGGAGTTAGATGCTTTCCTGATGAGGTCTGATTTAAACTCCACACTGAACTTGAACAAAACGGTGAAACTGCCTTCCCTGTTAAAGTCCTATGAAAGTTACTAAAGGAAATTGTAACACACAGCCCTCTTTCATGTAACTGTTTCGGGTGGGAAGGTAAGAATACAGCATGAGGCTAAATCTACAACAGGGTCAATCCCTCCTAAAATGTTCTTTATCACCAAAACCTAAATCTCATATCAACATTACAAGTACACATGGGAGACGTGTAAAAGACAATCGACCACTCACCATAATGCATGTAGCAGTTTCCTTTGGTGGGATCCAGTTCGATAGCCTTCAGGAAGAACTTTTCAGCCTCACTCTTACGACCCTGGAAAAGAGAGAAAGTGGATGATTCAGCAACAGATCGTGAGGGATTCTTCACTTCTTGGGCCTAAATGAAGTAAACTGATGTCTACTTGGTAATTATCATTGAAAAAAAAAGTGTTTTATTTTTATCTAAATGGGGGTGATCAAGGAGAATATGTTGAGAGAGAAGACTGAGGTCTGAACCCTGGGAAACACCAAAAATAAAGAACAGAAGGTGAGAAGGAGCTTGGCAAAAATGTCAAAAAAGAGGTGGCCAGTGAAGCAAGAGAAAAAATGGAAAAAAAAAATGGCTTCACAGAAACCAAAAGGATAAGACAGTTTTAAGGGAACATTTTCATTCTATATTTTATTTTCTGCCTTCAGCTTGCTTCTTCTTCATTCCTTCTTTTTCCTTGTAAAGAAGTATGGCCATTTTAACTTTTGAGATGATTTGGTCTTAACCACTCACTTTATAGATGAGAAAAAGAAGCCAATAAGCAGTAGCTGCTCTCAAGCAGCTACTGCTTATTCTTGCTATCATTCAGGACTCAAATTCTCTAATCCAGGATTTAATCTAAAGCTAGATCAACTTCCTGGCCATCTGTAGTTTTAAGTATTAATAAACATTGCCATCATTCTCTCTCTCTCTTTCTCTCTCTCTCTCTCTCACACACACACACACACACACACACACACACACACAAAACCCACCAAAATTAAGGGGGAAAGATTTGCATGCAATAAATTGATTTTCATGAAACAATATCATAATCCAAATAGATTCTAAAACTATACATTGACCACCTAGCTACTGCTTTGAACCACAACTGTCTTTGTTGTAACAGAAAGGGGTGGTCCAAGGTCTGCTGACAGCCCTAAGAATGACTTCCCTGGAGCAGTTCTATTTTGTCTGGCATGGCTGGAATGAAGATCTATGGTGACTGAGAATGGGAGCAAGGCACTGGGTGGTGTCCAAAGCCACGGGACCATGGTAAAGAGAAATGGCTTTATCTGCCCATTCCTCCCAATTTATATATTTAATACTATCTACCCATACAAACCTCAGGCAACTTTTTTTCTTACTTCACACATATTTTTATAACCACAGTTATGAAGAACAATTTTCCAGAGTTAGAGGTTATATAATTAACCTAGTATTCTACATTGAATGCAACTTTGATCATTTCTCCATACTGCCTTCTCTTTTGTTCATGTTCTCGTTCAAGTTCACCATTGCTACCATCCTTCCATTCATTCATTATTCTAGTAGTTGAGACATAGCCCACAGCCTCTACCACCTACAGCTAGTGATAACCAAATGATCAGAAAACTGACTCCCTCATTTCTTCTATCATTTTAATAATGCTACTCCTTTCATTAACTCCTCTTTAAATCACAAGTCTTAGAAAATACTCAATAATTAAAACTTTAAAATTCCCTGTAATGTTTCTCACAACATTCTGACTTCAAAAAAAAAAAGAGGAATGCACAGACAGAAGGAGTATGACAGGAGGGACCAGATCACGTAGGGCCTAACAAAATTCTGCAAGGAGGCTGAAATTTCGTTTTTCTTTTTGGTAGTGAACATCAGTTTCAATATTGGATGCCACATGTTGGTTTGACTCACAGTTCCTTAGGTAATAACCTACAAAGGGTTGGACAGCCTCTGGGAGCTGTGCAAATATGGAATGCTTCCCAAATTTGTGTGACATCCTTGTGCAGGAGTCATGCTGATCTTTTCTGTATCATCTCCCTCTCAGTGTATGTGCTGCTGAAGCACTGGAATTTCTTTTTACAAGGAAGGGACATGAGGGAAGATTTTGAATAGAGGTGAAGTCACCTCTATTTATTAATAGACATGACCTATAACAATATGATATCATTTATACTTAGAAAACCACACTTAGATTATTGGGGGGAAAACCAAAGGGAGGACAGAAGAGAAAGCAGAGAGATCACTTAGGAGGTTGTTAATACTCCACAGCTTAGACAAGGGTGACAGCAATGGAAGTGGTGAGAAGTGATTACATTTGGGATCTCTTTTGAAGATAAGTGGCCAATCAGGTAATAGAAAAAGAAAAGTCAAAGATGGTTGCACAACTTTTTACATGGTATATGTGGGTGAATGTAGGTATTATTTATTCACCTGGGAAAATAACACCTGGGAAAATTGTGGGAGCAAATGTCAGTAGGAAGGTACACACGTAGTGGAGTCATGGAGTTCTGTTTGAGATGCTAGAGCAGGTGAGTACGGAAGACTAATTCAGAAAGACTGGCCGAATAGGGTGCCATAGACGAGAATGGCAGGAAATTAGAATACTGGATATCTGGCACCTTGAGTGAGAAGTAAAAGGAGAAGACTTGCAAGAATGCCAAGAAGGGAGCAAAAAGGAAAAGTAATAGCAAAAAACAAAAACCCCTCACCTACTTATAATTTTAATGTTTTGAATAAAAATATATTAAAATCATTATAAGATGTAAACATAGGGAACCATTTTAAATAACCACTTCAAATTATAAGTAACTATGCCTTTCATAAACATGTTATTTTAAAATCTGATAATTTTTAAAATTCAAGTTTAACTGTTGCTTGCTACATAGCTTTGACATTGTGAGTAAAATTGTTAGATTTTAAAGTATAAACACAGAAGGGCTAACTTCTATAAATATTACATAACTAAAGTGTTTAGCTGACTCAGATTTCCTGTTATATTACAATTTTCATTTCCTTTCTACATCTGTTCTCTTGTATATTCTACCTTCAAGCTTAAGGGGTCATCCACGCGTACTGTAATAACATTTCAGTGGAGGTGATTTGATAGGATACAACCACATCGTAAGCCCCACCTGGGCAAATTACTTAGGCTGTTACACTGTGCTGCTATACTAAGCTCAAAGTTAAAACCACCATCTCATCATAACTCTTATCCATCCACAATCTCAGTTGATGAGAACAGCATTCAGACATTTCATTAAAACATCTGAGGAAGCTAAGATGAAGTAAGCAGAAATTCTGTTTGAATCAAATTTGTAATTAAGTTATAGGTAAATATAAGTATATTCTAAAGTTTTACTTGAAAATTATGCAAATCATTATGGATATTAAAATGGGCCATTTTCAGATGTTAGAATTATGCCTATAATTTATCTTTCCATTACAAACCAAAATATCTGCTTTTAATTAAAACAGCGAAATTTTAGCAATTCAATTTATTCCTTGATTCCCTTAATTTGACAAATATTTATTGAGTACTTCCCATGCGCCCAGCACCGTGTTAAGCACTAGGATAAAAACCGTGAGCAGCAGATACAATTCCTGCTCTGGTGAAGCTTGCAAAACTGCAGCTGTTAAGAGTATGGAAAAAACAGTAGCTGGGACTTGACCTCTGACAGTTGGTTTGATGTAGGTTAAGTATTCAGGGAGGGTTTCCAAAGGAACTGGTGCCTAATCTAAAAATCAAAAGATGTATATGATTAACTAATGGATGGGGAGATGAAAGTATTCTCAGGAGAGGCACAGCAAAGGCAAAATACCTGTGGCAAGAATAAAAAGAAGAAGAAGAAGAAGAAAAAAAAAAAACCTGTGTGAAGCCCAGGGTGAGCGAGGCAGAGAGGAGTGAAAGTGAAAAAGTAAGCAAGAGCAGAGTATACCTGGCTGATCAGTCATCCCAAGATGTCATCTGCTGTTTTGTATTAATAAATATCACCCTGAGGGTAGTGAGGATAACAGAGTGCAATGGGGACAGAAGGAAAGGAGGCAGGTGACCGTGAAGCTACGGTTAGTGAACTGGCAGGAGAGAGATTTCGATAAAACAGACCGAATGACAAGACGGACAGGGCAGGCAGGGGATGTGATGAAGGAGGTGGAGTAACAAGGATGACCTCGAGGCTTCTGGACTGTGAAACTGAAGGGAAAGTGGTAAATAATGGAAGAAAGCCGGGTTTAGGAGGCAAGACTCAGAGCTCAGTTTTGAGAATTGTAGAGATTAACATACCTTTCAGACACCTGAGATGTCAAGGGTGGGCTTTGTTAATTAGGTTGAACCAAGGGGTTGAAGGTAAAGTGATCTGGTGTCTCAAGCAAACAGTAGTAAGTCAATTGTGTCAAATGCTAGAAAATATCCACTGGATTTAGTAACAGATCATTGGTGACCTCAGTAAGGTGTGTTTAATAGGTCTTGACGTCAGAAGTGGGTAGAATGGGGTGGAGGGCAGTTAAGGAAATGGACAGAGCAATTACAGACGGCTCCATCAATATGCCAGGCTGTGAAAGGGAGGGACCAACAGTGTCAGCAGGACACAAGACACATGAGGGTTTTGAAAAGAACACAGAAAATCAAAATGTAAATCACGACTGGGCATAAAAATTAATGTACAGGTTTTTTTCTTAGTTTAGTTTAAAATTAGGAGGGAAAATAACCCCTAAAAATCTCTTTTTAGAAGTCTTAAATAATTTTCCAATTATGGGCATGACCAAATTAAGCCTGCCCAGATTCTTCAAGCTGAGTCTTTTCCTCCTGGGTGCTCTAACAACGCTTGATTCCTACTTTTGTTGTGACACTTACCATATGTACTCTAATTACCATTTGTAATCTCCTCTTCTAATTGTAAACCACTTTAGGGGAATTGTTTAATCAACACTTAGCCAAGGGCCAGATGCATAGTAGGTGGTCAAAAATGCATGAAGAATGTTAAACATCTTGCAAAAGCAAACACTCAAAACACTTCTTAAATGCCTACACTCCTTGAGAAGTGTTGCTGCCTAAGTGATAGATAACATAGTTTCCAGTGGTAAATCCGATTAAATCTTGAGGCTTGAGTGATACTTAGAACTTCATGCCTACTGCTAGCATTGACAACACCTGCTCTCCACAAGGAAAACAAGAAGCCACATATTTTATCAGCATTCTGTGATCCTTGAGATGGCACCAAAGGGTCATGAAAAAATGGTCTCCAACAGAAAACTTTTCTTTGTAAAGATAAAGCGGCCAATGTGATCTCCTTTTAGGGAATTAGAGCAAT